GACAACTCACTCCACCAACTTTAGTATAATTGACAAGGTCTTAGTAGATAAAGATAAAGACCAGGGAGTTTCACACAAGTAATAAATGTCAGAAGTAGAACTACAGCACATATCTTAGGGACTCTTAAGTCCACCTCTTACCTGCTACCTGACTGCTTCTCTGCAGTATCTCTCAGGGAACTTTTCTAGGTCCTCAGTTTTCTTGACCTGACAGCAGCTAGCTAACCCAATCCTCCTTGAAACTCTCTTCTCACTTGACTTCTGGGGTTTTGTGTTTGTTTGGTTCTCCTATTTATCTTCAAACACTCTAGAACTTCAGGGATGAATGGATTAGTCAACAATATCTGTTGCCATAGGGAAGTCAAGGAGAATAAAAAAAATAAGAAAAGTCCACTGCATTTATGAAGAAGGAAATCAGTCACTAATAACTTTTTAGAGGAAGTAAAAATCAGTGGAGTAAATCTGTTTTAGTATACGTAGAAGAATGATAATTATATTTGTAGTTTATAGAGTTTTTTGTATGGAACTTAAAATGTTTCTCCACTTATATAGTCCAAATATTCTCCTGCTCTGATATATTCAAGGCACAAAGGTTAAAAGTTTTAGTCTAGCCCTTGACAAATTTATCACACAGTCAGAATTTTTAAAATAGAAAGTAATGTTTTAAATATATCTTTAAAAATCTGCATTAGTAGATCAGTTTCTTTCTGATAATAAAAAATAAGTTATTTGACATTTATAGTACAAGACGGGATTCACTATTGCATCTAAGAGTATGCCAGTAAAAGGGAAAACAAAATCATCTACATCTGCTTTCTGCATATTAAAAAGAACAAAACCATGCCCCATTTATCACTCTTGCCTTTTTTGCCAAGTTGTAAACCAAATCATGGCAGATATGTTGATAAGTCCCAAGGAAACGACAACAGTTACAAAAGCAGGCTAAGAAAGACTATTTTAAGAGGGTTCTTTGTTTTTGTTTTTGCTTTTTTTGTAACAATATTGGATACAGAAATTTTGGCCATGGCAAAATCCTTGAGTTTATTGTAAAGACGTAGTTCAAATAAAATGTTTCGTAACAGCACTGGTGTCTGACAAGATTAAATGAAATTTAAAACTTTGGCATTATACATACATACATACACACGCACACTTTTCTTCTTCAGTCAGATTCTTTTATTCCTCTCCATCCCACTCCCCTACCAATGATGATAAAAGCATTACATTTAGGTGAACTGGGTCCAAATTCTAACTGTGCTACTTAGTGACTTTGGGAAAGTCACAATCTCTCGGGGCCTTAACTTCATCTGTAATATGCAGGGGCGAGACAATATTTCTAAGGCCTTTTCCAAGTATCTAAATCATATAATCTACATTCCAGAAATAATCTGTAACATTCTAGCTACCTGAAAGGCCTCACTATACTTTCCTCACTCTAACCCTTCAGAATATATAACACACAAGAAATTGCACTGAAAATATGCTCTTGCCCAGCCTTTTCTTCTATGGTTTCAGATCTAACTTGGATATAGGTGTTTTCTGCTGAGAAGCCTTGGAATTTGAGAAAGCTTCACCAAGTATTTTTAAGAACAGAAAGCTGCTTAGGGTAGCCTGCCACTTTCTACAGCTGGCAAGATTATCATCTGAGTTCCTCTGGAACAGCTACTGTACAACACCACTATGCACTTCTAAAATTACAACATGGTTCTTTAGGCTGTAATGCAATAATGTGAAGTGAACACAATCTCTACGTGGTAGTTGCAGGAAAAGCACAAAGACCATCAAGACCTCCACTAGAGACAAAGGTTCAATTTAAATACATATTAAATTTGGCAAAAAATAAATCAAAAGTTTACTCATCCTTTGAACTGCTGGAGATGTCATACTTGAAGCTCTAATAACTGCTTATTTTTCATGGTACTAATTTAGAGGTAGCAGTACAATAAGTTGGTGGAGAAATAGCATGGCAGTACATAGTAAGGCTTAGTCAGGCAGACATAGGTTCAAGTCCTGCCTCTGACACTTACTGGGTAGGTTTAGGCCAGTTCCAACCCCTCAGTGCCCCAAGCAACTCTAAGACTAGAAGGTGCTGAGAAACTGCTTATTTGCATTGGTAAAGGGAGTTTCCTACAATGAAATCATAGGTCTTGCCCAAAAATTAAACAGTAGGAGGCAACTGGATTGGAGTTAAGTCCTGGCTCTGCATTCAATAGTTGTACAGCCTTGGAAAAGTTATTTCAACTCAAGTCTGTTTCATCTGTAAAATGGGAAAAATAAAAATAATGGTACTGACTACTTCTTGAGACTATGGTGAGATCATGTACTTTCAAGTGCTTTGCAGCTATAAAGAGCTATATAGAAACAATTAGTGATAAATCTTTGCAGAGTAAATTTGGAACATTAACTTCAACAAGTTCTCTGAGCTTTAAAATAAACTATATTATCTGCTGGAATACGAAACATCTTTATACCAAAACTTCACTGCAAAAATATTTGATAATATCTATAAAACTGAGTCTGGAAAGTTAGGATATTAATAAATTCTTCTCTAGCTAAATCAATCCTTTCATCTCATAACAATCAATGAGGGAAGAAGTCAGTGCGTTTTTAGTCAATTTTACAGTCATGCCTAAAGGTACAATGAAGCAGAAACTCTATTTGCTGACAATTGCACTAAACTAAGACTAGACACACAAATAGTGAATGAATTTACATTGTAGGTTAACAAACCTCAAGAAAGTCATATATTAGCCTAAACCAGAAAACCAACACATGAAACTCTTTGATGTTAGTTATACAAGGCTGAAAGCAGTCAAGCTAGCAATCTATCATCTAAATATTTAAGTGGCAATAATTTGCCAAATGTTGGGGTAAAAAAAGAGATTATGAAAAGTTAGGAAAGCCTGCATTTTGGGACTGGCAAATAGAGACCAACATGATAAGCTTCAGGTCAAGGGGGGTCCGTAGAGCTTACAGACATGGAATAGGACCTTCTGCAAACAGTACATCCAGCTTTTTCAGGTGTCACCAGTTTCATCAGTGTCACCTTAGAGCAAGTCTTTTTAACCTTGAGTCATGGACCCCTATGGTGAAAACCTATGGACTGTTTCTCAGAATAATCTTCTTAAATGCATGAAATAAAATACAGAGGATTACCAAGAAAACCAATTATATCGAAATATAGTTATCAAATTAGGGAAAAAAAAGTTCGTGGACCCCAGGTTAGTAATTTCCTTAAAGGGATATTCAGTTGGCATAGAGGATCATCAACAATGTCTTGGAATGCAGCCTTTTTCAAACTTAACCTTTTTCAAATCTACTTTTTTCAAAAATATATTTTTGGGGGGGCAGCTAGGTGGATAGAGCACGGGCCCTGGAGTCTGGAGGACCTGAGTTCAAATCCGGCCTCAGACACGTAACACTCACTAGCTGTGTGACCCTGGGCAAGTCACTTAACCCCATTGCCTAACCAAAAAAAAAAAAACCCAAAAAAGATATTTTATGTAGCACAGCTCCACTAGACTAAACATGCAGAAGATAGTTAAGAGCAAAATATGTGTTATATGGCCAACTATAAGGATAGAATAGGACCAAGCATAAACACTGAAACAATCCTATATACTAAATCAGCCAGTACATAAACCTGCCATCTATCAATCAGAAATGGAATTCAATCCTAGCAAGGTTTTTAAGCAACCTGTGAGCCAAATAGGCAAAAGAAAAGACATATGTGTCAGTTAAGGTCTGTGTGCATTTACTGACCTCTTTGCAGATCAATCAACTCCCCTACAAAATGATGCAGAGAAATCTTATTCAGGATTTAACAAATAAACCCAAACATATTTTTTCCCTGAATTCCAGATCAAATTATTTTCAAACATCTTTTAATTAGAACAAAATGTAATAGAATCAAAAACACTTTCACTGGCACTTGATTTTCATTTACTGTTTAACTTTCTGTCCAACTTAAGTGTTTTTCATATTAATATCTGCAAATATTAAGCATCAAATCAAGCTCTTCTTAGCTCCTATACAAGTCAAACAGTCAATTTGCATATTGTGACAAGTACTAACCTGGACCTTAATAGCAATTCAAGGATAAACTACTTATGTACACAGTCCTTTCCCACCACACCCACACAATTAGGTATCAACATCATCTTCAAGTGGAAAATGAGCATTGATACATTATCCTCTAGTAAAAATTTGTATAATACTATAATTTGATACTTTTAGTCAAATATTTGATCTGCACAGTAAATTGGGCAATTACTAGTACAGCTTAACAAAATTAATCAGAAACTGAAAACCTAGTTTCAAAGCTGCTTTACCAGATGCCACTGAACACAAACTCCTTATAATAATGGGGGGAAAGAAAACTACGAATAACCTAGTTATTATAACTGATATCTTTGACTTAGAAAATCACTCAGAGGTCCATGAACATGGAGGAGCTTTTTCAACACTTGAGGAAATCAAACAGGACCCTTATTTCAGGAATTTTAAAAATAAGGAGTATACCATCTTAGTTCAGGATGAACAGACAGGTTTCTAAGCTCAAATACGCTCACAGTGTTGACCCAGATCACTCATCGGCCAGAAAGTTTTATACTCAACAACAAACTTCCAACTGGAACAGGTGCTAGAGAAAGTTATTTTCGGGAACGCTGCCTTTGAAAGGGAGACCATAATTACTACCTTCAAGAGTCATATCACTACTCCCAATGAATAAAAAACATTGTGTTCACTCTGGAAGCAAACCCACCCCACCACGTCTCTTTAGGTTAGAGGTATGGACAGGGGTCACTTAGATTTGTGGCTCCACCAAGACGCCCAGATCGGTTGGTTTCGAATGGGTTAATAGCCCAAGAAACAGCACTGGGATGCTGTCTCTTTCTGGACAGTCGAAGACGTGGGGAGGTGTCTTCCTTCCCCCCCTCCCCCACCCCCCAGCCCTCTGGAGACAAGGAGAACAAGAAGAGGAGAGAGGGGCTCCCCACCGTGGGAGGGTGGCTGCCAGCGGGGAGATAACGATCGTGCCAACTTTGGGCTCTCTGGACGATGGACGGCGGCCACTCCAGGCAGGTAATCGACCGAGCTCTGGCTGTGGGAGGGGGGATCCGCGGGACAAAGGGCGGAGGGACGCCGAGGGTCGGGAGAGGACTCACAGAACTTGGAGGTGGAGGTATTGATGTTGATGGTGGCGCTAGGGGTGGGGGCGGTGGCCGCCTTGGCCGCGGCCGCGTCGCAGCTCTTCATCATCATCATCGTCACCCCGTTGGCCTCGGGCGGCGGCCCCAGCCCTTCCTTGGGGCCCTTCCTCTCCGAGGCCGCCGCCGCCACGGCCAGCAGCTGCACTCCCGGCGGCTCCCGGGGCGAGGAGGAAGAAGAGGAGGGGGGCGGCGGTTGGGGCGGCGGTTGCTGCCGGTAACCGTCCATGGCGGCCTCCCAGTTGTTGTGGTTCTGGTCGTCCATCATCGCCTCGTAGCCGCCGCCGCCGCCGCCGCCCTCCTCCTCCTCCATGCTCTCCTCCATGCCTTCGGCCCCGGGGTGCCTCGCAGCACTCCCCCTCCTCCCGATACACACTCACACACACACACCCCGCTCGCACCCCGCACCACCACCCCCCCCTTCGGCCCCCTTTCCCCGCCTCCCGCGACACCTGCCGCCGCCTCAACCCAGGGGCAGGGGGCACCACAGCCTCATGGCAGCGCTCACATCTCTGGAGACTGGGGAGGGACCGGGGGAGAGAGAAGAGCGGAGAGGAGAGAGGGATCCTGGGGGAAGAGGAGAAGGGGAGCGCGTCCGGGTGAGACAGCCGGAGGAGACTCGGTGACCGGCCCTGGCTGCCGGTGGGCGCTCCCGGGCTCGCCTCAGTAACAGCCGAGCCGTAAAGCCGCCGGTTGCCGCTCACGACATTTTACAGCAGCTCCGGCTAGGCACTGGGAAGGAGCAGAAGGGGAAGCAAAAGGAGGAAGGGAGGAGGGGACCTGGCCCGGCAGAACACGTGGTGTGGGCGGAAGCGAAAAGAGGAAGAGATGCCGAGAGGGGCGGGGCCTCTATCGCCAGCCCCCCGGGACACTATAGGCAGGATAGCCAGGGCCACAGCTAAGTGGTCACGTGTTGGGGGGGGTGGGTGTCGTGTTGATTCAGCAGAGTTCTGACTCTCGATGGCGCGACCAATGATGGGCTCTGTAGCACGTGACGCAGGAAGTGACCTGCGCTTGCGCAATTCCTGGGCTGGGGGGGGACTGTGGAAAGAAATTTCTAGTCTCCCTCACCGCCCCACCCCCCCCCATGGTTGCCAAGACAACGCAGCACCTGGACAGCTCACCCCATTGAGAGGCCCAGTTAATAAAATAGCCTGTTGCTGTCTGTGAGATATTTAAGTCCAACAGTGCTCATCTCCGTAATTCACTCCCTTTTCCCTCCGTCCCCCGTGCACATTGCAAACCATCCATGCTGTGCCATTCTTGCCTGTACCTTTCCATAAAACCTACATAGAAAACCTTTTAATATTTTGTGTAACAGTGGAGTTGCTGATCTCAGGAAGGGCCTCACATAAGAAGCTGTGTCTGAGCTAAGAATTCTGTCCTGTGTGGGGAACAGTAAATTGCTCAATTTGGCTCTCATATGACAGTCTGGAACCAGATTTAAAGGACTTTAAATGTCAAAGAGCAGAATTTGTATTTTATTCCACAGCCAATAAAAGCCACTAGAGCTTTTTGAGCAGGGGAGTGACATGGTCAGACCTGTGCTTTAAGAATATCAATTTGGCTACACTGTGGAGGATATATTAGGGGAAAGATTTGAGGCAAGTACACCATTAGAAGCCATTGGTCTAGGAAGGCCTAATCTAAGGTAGTAACTGTATGAGCAGAGAGAAGAGGACAAGTGAGAGATGTTATTGAGGAAGAACAATGATTGGATGTGGTAAGTGATTATGAAAAGTACAGGATGATTCTGCATTAGCAACTTGGATGACTAGGATTGTGCTGCTGTTGATAGGAAAAGGGAAAGCAGAGGATAGCAGTGGATTTGGGGGAGAAATAATGGATTCCTTTTTGTATACATTGAGTTTAAGGTAGAGATATGGGACTGGAGCTCAGCGCAAAAGAAGTCAGACAGAAACAAATGTCTGATACATAACAAAATATTTATGGCAACGCTCTTTGCAGTAGCAAAGAACTAGAAACAAAATGGGAATCCGTTAGGAAATGGCTGAAAAAAAATTTGGTATATGAATATAATGGGGTATTACTATACAGTAAGAAAAATGAATATGAGATTCAGAGAAACATGAGAAGATTTGTATGGACTGATACAGAGTGAAATGAACAGAACTAAAACTAAACAATATGCACAATGACTTCAACAATGTAAATTAAAAGATCACTCACAGGAAACAAACTGAGCATTTGAAAAAACCCATAGAGGTCCAAGAAATAGATAACAAAATATTCCTCTCTCCTTACAGCAGAAAGGCTGTGAGGAATTAGTAGGGCAGAATACTGTATACATTGTCAGATAAGGCTTTTCTTTCTCACTAGGGAGGGTTTAGTCTAGAATAGGAGAGAAACTGTTAGGTGTTTGAGATAAAGACAACATGCATAAATAAAATGCATTTTTTAAAAATGTAATTAGTGCATTTAAATCAATCCAGTGAACATTTACTAAACATCTTCTACGTGCAAAGCATTGTGCTAGGGAATGGAGATACAAAGACATAAAAAGAAGCAAAACAATCACTTCCTTCAAAGAGCTTACATTCTATTAGGGGAAAACGACATGATCACATACAAGTAAATACAAAATATATACAAATTAGATATGTAAGGGTGGGATATCCCCACCACAATTAATGTAAATACAGAAGGCCCAGACTTTTCTAGTTTCTCAGAAGATCAAAGGTGTAAACTAGTTGTGAGCAAGTCCTTAATCAATCTGGGAATGGCAAAATACTTGGATCTTTGGAAAAAGATGATGAAGGAATCAGACACTTCGCTGGGCCTATGTGTAACACAGCAAGCCAGTCTAGTGGTAGAATACCTGGAGCCAATTTGAGCAAGAGATAGGGAAGTGGCCCTGAAGGAGTGTTAGAAGCAGTTGTCACACCAATACCCTCTTTGTTTAGGTTAAATGTTGGAATGAAATGAGGCACTCAAAAGTCATTAAACATTTAACAAAGGAGATTTATTTTGCCTTAACACATCAAGAACATTCAACAAGGATACATGACCCTTAGCTTCTCTGCACATGGCCCCTTCTTGTTTCCATCTGGAAATGTATCTGGTCAGTAGGTCATCTGAGTATGTCAACTCACATGGTCTTAGGCACCTACCAAGTCAAAGGCCCAGATTCCTCATGTCTGGGACTTTTTTTGCTCCTAAATAACAAGGAAGCTGCATCAGGGAAGCTGGGACCAATCAGGTTCCAGGGACAGCTTTGTCCTGCTACAAGGAGTTACTACAAATACAAAGTAATTTGAGGAAAGAGTTCATTCAGAACTTGGGGAATTAGTAAAGACCTCTCATGAAGGAAGTAACCCTTAAGTGAGCCATGGAGGAAGGTAAGAGTTCTAAAAGGAAGAGATAAGGACTCATGTAAGCCCTAAGTATATTAATCCCAACTCCCACTCCCATTGATGAATTGTGTTCCCAGAGTTTGCCTATATCTCCCCATCAAGGTTTTAGAGGAGCCCTGATAAGTGAAGGGTGATTCTTTCAGTCTACTGGCTTGAGCTCTCACCAATGTGCTTCTCACCAAGATTATCAATTGAAAATAAATTGTCAGTCAACTCTAATTATCTTTAGAAAGTAGTATTTACTGAATTGGTACAGTAAAAAAAAACAGTTGATACAAAAGGTCCCCCTAAAAGTCTGTGATACAGTCCCATCCCAAGTACATACAGAGTCCAGGACAAAGTGGGCGAAAGCTTAGAGGACACATGTGACAAACACGCAGTTGCTTGACAAGGTTTCCCTTAGGTATGGTAACTTTTGCTGGGCTTTTTATGGAACTGTGAAACTAAAGTCCTGTCTGTCCTTTGCTCTCAATGTAGGCACTGCTGTCAGCTGATCCCAGGACATCAGCAGGAAGATGGAAAGTCCAACGTCCTCTGGACCCTTCAAACCTCACGAGAGCCTCCTCTGGTCAAGGTGGAGAGGAAGGAAGGACTTAGGCAAAAGCCAAAGAGGAGTCCTCTCCTTGCCCCCCAAGACATTCCTTCTCAGGGCAGCTAAGTCGCACAGTGGATAGAGTACCTACCCTGAAGACAGGAGGACCTGAGTTCAAATTTGGCCTCAGACCAAACACTTGACATTTACTATCTGTGTGACCTTGGGCAAGTCACTTAACCCCAATTGCCTAAAAAAAAAGTTCCTTCTGAAGGAGGTTGGGTGAAGGACACACCTGTCCTAAACTTTGAAATGAATCTGGTTTTAACTAGCTTAGTAATTTATAGATGATTATAGAAACATGGCCAATTTTCCTTAGCTTATCAGAACACTATTCTTGTGCAATATCAACTTGAGGGACTTTTTGAAATTAATAATAATAGTAACTAGGATGTATATAGCACTTTAAGGTTTGCAAAGTGCTTTACAAATATTATCTCATTTTATCTTCACAACAACCCTGGGAGGTAGGGACTATTATTATTTAGTCCCTACCTGCAGTTACAGATGAGGAAACTGAGGCAGACTGAAATTAAGTGATTTGTATAAGGTCACACAGCTAGTGAATGTCTGAAATTGGATTTTAACTCAGGTCTTCCTGACTCCAGGTCCAGTACTCTATCCATTGTGCCAAAGCCCATGATCTCACCAAGTTAAGATATATAGGCTAAAATGGGGTGGAGTGGTTTTGACTACTACCTTATATTAGCATGGGAGAGTAGGAGAGACAATGTTATGTATAAGGAACAGCAATTAGACCAGTTTGGCTGAATTGTAGCATGTGTGAAGGTCAGTAATCTAAAAATCAATCTAGAAAGAGGTATTGGAATCACATTGTGAGCATTTTTAAATTTCCAACAGAGTAATTTTTGCTTTATCCTAGAGTCAATAGAGAGTTCCCAGAGCTTTTTTGATCAGGGGGATGAAGCAGTCATACATGTTTCATTTCAGCAGCTATATGGAAAATGGATTGTGGAAGGGGAAAACTTGAGCTGAGAGGCTAATAAGGAGACTGCTTCAATATACATGGCACAGGTGACAAGGATTTAAATTAGAGTCGGGGCTGTGGGAGTGAAAAGATGGGGATAGATGCCAAAGTCAAAATAGAGTGGAATCAAGACCTGGCAACTTATTGGATTTAGATATATATGTAACTGTTTGGAGGTAGGGATGATTCCACAGTTGTAAACCTGGGTAATTGAAAGGGTGATGATGCTCTTAATAGAAATAGGGAAATTAGGGAGTGGGAGAGGATTTATGGGAAAGATAATGAGTTCTATATTAAACATGCTACATTTGAGCTACCTGTGGGGCATCCCTATGGAGATGTCCAGCAGGCAGGTGGTGGTATGGCTCTGGAGCTCACATGAGAAATGAAAGTGGGCTAG